GCGTAATGTACGCTTTGGTTTTTCTTTTTTTAAATATTTTTGAAGTCTGCTATACAGCAGGGCCTTTGCAATCAGCATATGCATGGCCTCGTGTTTCCTCTCCTCCTTCCCCTAACACACACACACACATACATATACACACACACACACACACATACATATACACACTCACACACACACACGCAGACACCCTAAAGACACACACACAGAGGCACAGCCAAATAAACAGTCAAATGTGTCTGCTGGCAACAAAGCGCCGTTAAACATGCCAGTAAAAACACACCCAGCAAACCGCGTAGAACCACAACAAAAACAAGTAACAAGAAGAAGCACAACAAAATGTACTCGTAATTGCCTCGTTTCATTTTTAATAACTGTCAATCCTTTGGCATTTGGGCGCGCCAGTTGCCAAACTGACAAAACCGCTCGTAACTTACGCTCAGCATATGAGCGACAACCACAATAACAACAACAACAATAACAACAACAACAACAGCGACAAATAACAATACTAATTTTTGGCCAGGAGCTGACTACAACCACAGAAACTCTGCCAGAAATTTTCCACATTGGGTACAGCACATTATTCACATGCACAGTAAGAAAAACCATAGATAATTTTGGTTAAACTTTTTGTAGAACGAAGTACGACTGTTGTCAAAATCTGGCCAAGGTCGGCAGACAACAAAACTCTTAAATTAAGAGCATTTGAAATAACAAAATTTAAATATTTAAGAGCATTCACATATCGAATTGTAAAAGTCCGTAATACTTTTTTCCATTTTTTCCAGCGTTTGCGGGAAAACTTTGTGCATTGCTCGCTTGATAAATGTTTGTCTCAACTTTTCGCCAAACTGTTGCTCTGTTTAGCTCAGGTCCCAGTTTTCAATGTTCGGAGCTATGTAACCAAGCGGTATCAGCGAGCCACAGCGTTGTGGTCGAAAAAAAAGCATCGAGTTTTGCAGAAAAAAAAAAAGAGAAATAGAAATTTGCGTAAAACTTTAAGCAAACAAGTTGCCCAGGGCTGCCCAGGGCTGCACTGGCCTTGGCCATTCAGGATTTCGCCAATGTACTGTGCTGCCAGTAAGCAATTGGGGCAACTAGCTGGCAAAGAAGCTATGAGCCGAGTTGAGAAGCTGTCAAAACTTCGCTTGGTTGCCATCCATCTCAGTCCTTATTGTGTTGTTGAGCATGCTTAACTTTACATTAAGTAAAAAAATTCCTCAGATTCTTCAATGTATTATTATTTTTGTTTATGCTTTTTAAGTTTTGCAAAGCTTTCGTTGCACAGATTAATCATTTCCAGTGCACGGGGTTACCGGATCAAAATGCCAAATAGAGCCCTTGGGCGCCAATTACATTAATCAAAGCATAACACCGAGGCCTGGACTCAAATATTTCATTAGATTACAAGCCCGAAATCCACTAGAACTATGACAATTTTGATGCAGAGCGCAGTCAAACAATGCGCCAAAATGGTGTTTGCTTAGGGAAGGCGACAGGTTGGGTGCCACGAGCCATTATCAGCTGCTTTGCAGAGATTATAGTGGTAAAGAGGCAAAAGAGGCAAAAGAGGAACGAGATGAAGGGGCCAAGGGCGCTGAGCTGGGCATGGGTCAGGGACGCGTTTAACAAAAATGTAAACAGGCAGCTAGGCCTGGCAGCACCTCAGTTAACCACCTTTGTCTGAACCTGTGTATTAGTGTGTGTGTGTGTGTGTGTGTGTGTGTGTGTGTGTGTGTGTGTGTGTGTGTGTGTGTGTGTGTGTGTGTGTGTGTGTGTGTGTGTGGATGTGCGGGTGTTTGCCGGATATTAAGTTTAGTCCGCGTAACTGTAATGGTAATGCCAACAGCCGGCGGCCAACGAAATCCAGCTGAAGCACCCAAAAATACACACACACACACACACACACACACACACACACTCTGATACACAAAAATACGAGCAAAATGGCGCACGGAAATTGTAAAATTTGTTACATTTTCTTTGGACCTTAGCTGCGGCGCGGATTTTCTTTTGCATTTATATGGAAATTATTTTATTATGCTAAGCAAAGAAAATCTTAAGCAGCAACAACTACTAAAAGGACATGCCTTAATAATTTAAGCCAACAATTTGTTTGCTTTTACTTGTAAATGTACACTGATTTCGGGCATTTACTTTGCATTTGATTTGTGCAGCGAATGTGATGCAACTCGAGCAACTCGTAATATCTACATGCATATGCAAATGCCTGAAACGATGGTAGATGCTAGAAAACGCTGCACACTCTGAGCAAATATTTTAATTGAAAATTGCAGAGCCGCATCAAGTAAATAGGAGTGCCAGCTACTGCATACGACAAGTTGAAAACTGATTGCATGACTGAGTTATGTGTGTGTCAGTTGGTGGGTGAATGTGTGTGTGTGTATGTGTGTGTGGCAATGGGTGTGGTTGAGGGTGTACACCTTTCAATTAGAGCCCCTTGATTTTTGCATAAGCCTGCACTTTATTCCACTGCTGCAAAAAATATCTGCATGAATAATAAACTGGAAAAGGCAGCGCTGGCCAGAGCATGCCAAAAGAAATTAAATTAATTAAATTCCGCTCACTTATTGCATGTTCTGCGTTCGACAGCCAAACAATTTGTGTTGCGTAAAATACGGTAGAAATGCATTGGAAAAAAAACCAGAGACAAATGTGCAAGTTATTTAATAAAGTAAAATAAATATTTGTGTCTGCAGCCATGAAAGCGGTACGAATGGCACACAAAAAATTGTATTTAATATTTGGTGTTGATGCTGTTGCTATTGTTTGCCTGCCACAAAATGTAATTTCGGTGAGCGCCGCTTGCAGTCACCATTAATGATTTTTTAATAATGCGCTTTTTAAATTTAAATTCGCATATAAACAGTGGCGTATGTGGCTAAATAAGCTGTGGTAGACATAAGAATTGGCTTGTCGTTTTGGCCAAAGTTAATTAATTTTCTGGCTACAGCTTCAAATATAAATCAGAGCATAAAAGTAACAACAGCAAGGAAAAACAATAGTAAAGAGCCTCACTCAACAAAAGGCTTAAGCAGCACACACATGTATAACTGTGTCCTAATCCAGGAACAGCACAAGGATATGCCCCAAGCGTGTACAACATTTTAAACACTTTGACTTGGCAGACATTAATGAATATACACATATATGTATTTGATATATGTCAGGCAAACTTTACATTTAAAGAGACAGCAAGCGATCCAAATGGTCTGAATGGCTGAGAGAATGAGAAAGATACCAACAGTAGTTTAAAATGCCATTAAATGCCGAGAGATGGGCAGCCTATCAGTCTACTGACATATCTCATGGTAGCTCCCTCTCATTGAGTGTGTGTTGGTTTGTGTGTGTGTGTGTGTGTCGATGGAGGTGGGGCAGGCTGTCAGCATATATAACTGTTGCTGTCAGGATTATGGCTTGTCATATTATGTCTTATGGTGTATTTTATTTGCATTCAATTAAAACGCACGTGTCACTTGCCTGCGCATATAAATTGCTAACAAAATGAGGCAGAAATTTATGCAAATCAGCACAAAAGGCTGGAGAACTTTTTTGTGTATGTGTTGTTAACTTTTTTATGCCTTATGCCAAATGAGTTTAAGCCATAAAACAGCCAAACAAAATTCAAAACAACTTTTCTACGCAACGTCATGCCAAAGAGCAAAGCATTGAGGAAATATTCTTTATAATGATGGAAAAAAGCGATTCAAAAATTACTGTAAATACCAGAACTTTTTTCAAATACAATTGTGGCACCAATTGTGGCAGCAATTGTGGCGCTGCGCAACCACTGCATCATTAAATTTAGTCATTATCATTACAATTATAAATTGTAATGTCTGTGACCCAAATATGGGGCGCATAAAATGCTTATTACGGGATTGATAAGAATCTAAATTAAAATGCCATCATAAAAACACTTTGGCCCCAGACTTTTGGTCAGGACAGGTGCAGACGCACACCAAATCGCTGTGGGGATTAGGCGGCCAAGAGTAATGACAGTTTCCGTGGCACTACCTACCATTACGACTCCAATTCGCAGTCTGGCTAAATGTTGCTCGAGGGAGCCGTGGACTTGTGTTAGTTGAAGCGTAGCCGTAGCCGTCGCCGTAGCAGGAGTCATAGCCATTGTGGTATTAGGCAAACCTCATACCAGCACGGCTTATTGCCATCAATATGCCAGGCCAGTCACGTTCAGAAAGTCTTAATCGAAGCTCGCACAGCTGCTGGACAAAACTTAAAGCTCATTAATTTTAAGGGAAAAACTGTTTTTGAAGAGGAATCCCCATTTGATTTAAGATCTTGACGTCTGTCGACTGGTGTCTGGAGTCTGGTGCCTGGCAAATTACTAACTTAATTATAAATTAATTTTCTAACAAAGCATAGGATGCTAGACAAGGCGATGCCAAACATCAAAGTATCAATAATTAATCGCCTCGGTAATGTTTTCAATTTCTTGCTTCATTAGTTGGCTTCTTTTGGACCTTCAAGACATTTGAGGGCCACAAGCCAAGGGCTTTTGTTTGGCTAATCCCTGAGAGTAGGTGTCCTGTGGGAGAGAGAGCAAAACGTAGTTTGGCTAAGCTTGCCTAATACATTTCGTTTAATTGCAAAAAACTGGACCAGAAAATCAATATGCCCAATGCGAAATGTTTTCCGTGACGATCGCTAAACAATCGAAAAACCGAAATGAGTTATGTCAGTTGAGAGGATGTGAGTGCGCGTATAATATTAAATAGATTTATATGCGGCACATGATGGCCGCATCAAGTATTGAGGCATTGGAGCAAGCGGAAATAAAACTGAAACCGGACGTGAGCCTGACGACGACCACGCCGGAAATTAAACTATTTGTTAGCGAGCCTTGTCCATAAGGGCGTCTTATGCTCACAACACAATTGCTGACAAGACCGAAATAAATCAAAACAAAAATCATGAAATGAAAAAGAAAAATACAATTGTTATTATAGATTTACCTGTTCCTGCTCCAGGCCAGGTTTACAGTGTCTTCCTACACTTTGTTTGCGTGGCTCGGTGTTATATATCGTATATATATATTCGTTTTTTTATTTTATATATATATATATATATATATGTGTATTTATTCTTTCGTTGCACTTGAGGGTTTTTACGTGCGGGTGCTTGTAAAATTTTTGAAATGGCGTATAATTTTCAACACTTGGCTGCCACTTGAAAGTTTCTGCATTCGTTTTTTGTGTGTTTAAGTTTCTGCAGCTTCTTTTGTTGGCCAGAAACACACACACACACTGACACACAATCAAGCTCACCGTCTCACACGCACACAGTGACACTCACACACACACAGCCACGCACACCTTGACGTGTGAAGTGCTAGAAAACATTGCAGAACGCAGCGCCTTCAAACGCAGCTCAGCTTCACAATCTGCTTTTTCAAACTGCGGGCAGCTTCCGCGTCTTGTGTCCTGTTCACGAAACGGCTCAACTCGAACTGTAACGACTCTCAGCTGCTGCGGCCGCAGCTAGTCAAGTCCTTCGCTCTTTCTCTCTCTCTCTCTCTCTCTCTCTTGTTAAATGGCGCTCGCTCTCCTACGCACCTTCGTGCCACTGGAAAGTGCTCCGTTACCGAGTGTGTGGGACTGGTTCGGCGTAAAACCAGCTGGCCCAGCATTAAAAAGTAATATCAATTTCCACCTTGCAAACAGCGTCGCAACGCGAAAGCAACAGCTAAGCGATTTCCCAGGATGCAGCAGCGCCCGTGTCCGTGGCTGTGTGACTGTGTGACTGTGTGCCTGTGTCTGTGTCCGTGCTGTCACTGGGGCCCCGCCTCCTGTCGCCTACGCATTTGTGTTAGGTGCGCGTGCTCTGCACGTTCCGCAATGTCTACACCGCAGGATGTGGAGAGTTTTTCCATAATTGTTGCATGCGATGATGTTGCGTATACGCCAAGGTGAACAATCATTTTGCTTGCAACGGCAGCTATTCAATAAAATGATAAATTAAATAAAAAACGAGCTTCAATTTAAATAATTATAATTTTTAATACGATTTCAAGATATAATGAAAATTATAACTTCACTGAATAACTAAATAGTACAGTAAAATATTAAAATAAAAATGGAGACAATGAATATATAAAATCAATAAAATTAAATTAAATAAATAATAAAAATGCATATTTAAATATGTAAAAAGTTATGCTTTCGCTGAGTGCAACTTTTACAATGGTGCAAGTAAAACTTAATTTCTCTTACTGGCCAATTTGAATGGCAGGGAAATGCGTTTGACGACTTCCACTTGGCTTTGTATTCATTCTGAACAAAAACTAAAGGATACAGTGGGGTTCAGGCACACATACACACACAAACACAGAAAAAAGCGCAACAGGACCATAATAATTGCGCGTTAAACATGTGCCAAGCGTTGCGAAGAGCAACAGTCTGAGAGAGAGAGAGAGCGAGCGAGTGAGAGAGCGAGAGAGCCCGCAACGAATAGTGAAAGCCGAGCAAAGCCGAAGCCCGGAGAGCGCGCCTGGAAATGTTCAACTGGTTGCGTTTTTGCAAGCAACAGGATATGTTGGAAGCCTGCAAAAACATCGACACAACAAAAACATCGCAGCCAAGGCAATATACAATAACAACAACAAGAACAACAGTGAGGGGCAGGCAAGTTGACTGGCTGACTGGCTGGTTGGCTGACTGGTTGGGCCGACAGGGACCGCAGGCAGGTGGGTGGGGAGGGCGGACGGGCCTACAAACAGTCGCGTGCTTAAAGCCTCAATACGAAAACAATTTGAGAGCGCACAATAAAATTGAATGGGCGCAAGAAAGGACGAAAGGCAACAACAAAAAAGGACAAACAAAAAATGTGAGGAGGCAGCAGAAAAAATGTGCCAACATATATACAAAAAGAGAAAACGAAAAAAAAAAAAAAAAACAGAAAACACGAAGGAACGTTGCGTGTGAAAGGAGCAGCGCCTGTTGAAGGACGAGTGGCCATTAGAAAGCTGCAAAAGCGAACGCCCAAAAAGTTGGCAATGTTTACAGGTAGCCAGTCAGCCAGTAAGCAAGGGTGTATTTGTCTTGCTGCTGTTCGAAGGACACAGCAAAAGGTACGCAGCGTGTGTCGATTAAGATGCTGAACCATTGTTGGTGCTGTTGCTGATGTTATTGGGATTGCCATTGGGTCGTGACAGACGGCGAGACGCCTGAACCGGACACGAACTCGACCCAAAACCATGTGAAGCGCTGAAGAGCTGTAGCTCTGCCTGTCAGCTTATCAATTTGTATGCCTGCAGATATTTATTTATGAATATCCTTTGGATGCGTAAGCGTCGGCTGTTGCGTGCAGGAGACAGCGCTCACGCCTTTATGCCCGCCACTCGCAACGAAATGCCGCGTAATCCTAACGCATTCCTGTGGGTCCTTACGTCCTTGCGTCCATGCGTTCAACCAACCGTTTTCTCTACACCCCACCTTCTCATACTTGCACTCTCTCTTTAGCTTTCTCCTTCGCACATTGCTGTGACGCTTTCTGCGCTAGTCTGCGATTTCGTTGAGTCCTTTCTTAATTTTATTTTTATTGCAGATTGATTTTTTCAGATTAAGTTTATTTTGTTGCCTTGCTGTGTATGTTGTTTGTTGTTTGCCTTCGCTTTAGGTCGCTTATAAAAAAAAACGTTGCCTACTTTTTGGGGGTACATTTTAATGAAATATGAGACCAATTGAGCTGTTTTAAGCAAACTTCTGCTTCAATTAACAATGCAAGCAACGCCAGCAAAATAACCATAACCAACATGCAAACAGAAAACCACATCCAACCATTTACAACAGCAACAACAAAAAAACTCAAAGTAAAAGTAAAACACTTTCATGCAAATGTTTTTGTATAACCAAGAAATATTTTTAACATACTACACACACACAGACACACACACACACACACGCAAACACAGACACACACTCAGAATCGTGCGTGATAGTCCTGCGGCAAAAGTTTTTACTATTCGTAGCGTAGAACAAACAAAATCAAACCGAGCGCAACAAAGTACACAAATATTTACCTATGTACATACTCACTATATATATATATATATATATATATATGTATAAGCGAATATGGCTGTCTGACTGTGTTGGTATACGGTCACTTGGTAAAGTCATAAAGGTAACGGGTAAAACGGATATGGCGGCAGAGTGCGACACGTTCAACGAAGTTGAAGTCCATTAGCGTGAAGCACTGCAAAGTTTGCAACAATAAACTGTAGCACGTGCAACAGATCAACGAAGGGGATGTTAAAATAACAATGGTATCCGATTAATTTAGTATGCATAATAAACTTTAGGGTTGTAGAGGTGGCTTTGAGTTACACATTGCCATTTTAAAATCGAATATTTCCTCTTTTAATGCAGCTTGTGGCTTGCGTCGTGTCAACCATATTTAAATAGACAGTAAACGATTTTAAGTGGACTTCACATTAACTGGGATTATTCTATTTGCTCTGACATTTTGTGTTCTTTTTCTTGCATCATATGTTCAAAATGGCCATTACCAGAGCAATCAACAATCGATAGCAATGCTAACTGGTATTGGTTGCTAATTGTCTGCCAGCAAATTGGATTCAAATTCTATTAAACTGTCAGACAATGCAAATGCAACTAAGACTTTCGTCTAGTCGAGTGCACAAAATGTTCACTTGCCCAAGGCTTGTACAATTGAAGGCTTAAGCTCAGTTTCCATTTGCCATGACATTCAATTAATGCATCCTCAGTCAGATGAGGGGTGGCAGGGCAGTGCGTAGGCAAGACGTAGAGGCTTGTCTAATGCTTTAGAGCCTCTCAAATGCAACAATCCAACAACTTCATTAAATAGCGGCCATAAAGTAAGATACGTTAATGAAAGTGCTTGCAGTTAAAAACTCCTAAAGGCAACTGTTGCATTGAATGCGTATAATGAGCAAAGAACAAAAAACTTGAGTGTGCTCGACTAGAAGATACACTATGCTTAGGTGTGCCTGTTAAGCACTTAGCAAAAAGTTATTTTAAAAAACACTTTGGCAAAACTGAATGAATTTAGATAAAATTGATTTAGCGTTTGGAAATTGCCAATTCAGTTAATCACTGTAGAAACGTTTTTGATTAAAAAATATGCTCAAGTCTTTTGTTAACTAAATGGCATAATATATAGTCGCTTCCAGTCTCTCCATTACTGTTTCCGCTTTGTTCCCCCTCAATCGAGGTGTTAGCGGGAGTAGACAAAACAACAAGCAAACAGAGCTTCATTACAATTTTAATTTGGCATTTTAGCTGCCATCCAGCGAGCAGAGCTTAATTAGAGCAATTTGCGAGACAGGATAAGTGTCCTTAGCCTAAGCTTAGACTTGGCCCAATTGCGACAAGTCGAGTTGGTCGCAAATTTTGTTGATTGTTCATTGCAAATAGTTAGCTGCTAAGAGACAGCTGAGGATGGGCAGTGCAAGAAGCTGGAAAACGCGAACTGTTTATCTTATTTTTTTTTTTGTATTTACAGCAAAGTTAATTGAATTTTCACGCCGACAACCTCCAGCTTGCGGCTATTGGCTAAATGTTGACTGGGTGGATATGGGGTGGTGAGTGAGGTAGGTGAATCAGTGGAGGTGGCTTGGACAGTCTCTAAATGTTTTATTTGACATCATAATTAAGTCGGAATAATGCGCATGGAAATTGCTGTCAAGTGGTTCATCATTTATTAGGCAATGGGGCAGTTAACCTTCTGATGGGCTGCCCAACTAAAATTCAAAGTGTTACTGGGAGTTAGTGTCGATCTTAAGAATGCCTTTAAGGCACCGCATTGATCCACGCCACATCCTCAAGCACTGGCAAAAGTATATATCACTACGTTCCAAGGCCACGAGTATAACGCTTATGGATCCGCCTGACAAATCCGAAGGTGATCGCAAGCTCTATCGCGCATTAAGTCTATCGAATGGCCTACGCGCCATGCTCATCTCCGATCCTAGCAAGGGATCGAATGCAGCCTCGCAAACATCTATGCATAGTCCGGCACCGTCCACAGGCACCAGCTCCGACTCATCGCTGGAACACTACAAAGGCAAGCTGGCAGCGTGTGCGGTTATGATGGGCGTCGGCTCGTTCCACGAACCACGTCAGTATCAGGGACTGGCGCACTTTCTGGAGCACATGATATTCATGGGTTCCAAGAAGTATCCGATTGAAAACGCATTTGATTCCTTTGTGGCAAAGAGTGGTGGCTTTAGCAATGCTCATACGGAAAACGAGGACACGTGCTTCTACTTTGAGGTTGAAGAACAGCATCTGGACAAAACACTGGACATGTTTATGCATCTGATGAAGGAACCACTCATGTCCATCGATGCCATGGCCCGTGAGCGCTCCTCAGTGCAGGCAGAGTTTGAGCAGACGCACATGATCGATGAGGTGCGACGGGATCAGTTAATGGCTAGCATGGCCAGCGATGGCTATCCGCATGGCACCTTCAGCTGGGGGAACCTTAAGTCGCTGCAGGAGGACGTCAACGATGAGCATCTGCATAAGACACTCCACGCATTCCGGCGCAAGCATTATGGTGCAAATCGCATGATCGTCTGCCTGCAAGCAGAGCTGCCTCTCGACGAGCTGGAGGCGCTGCTTGTGCGCCACTGCTCAGATATACCGAAGAGTGAGGAACCGGTGTTGGACGCCAGCAAATTTAACTATCGGCACGCATTTCGCGAGCAGTTTTTTCGCGAGGTGCTCCTCGTGCAGCCCGTCGAGGATGTGTGCAAGCTGGAAATCACATGGGTGCTGCCCGCCATGCGACAATATTATAGATCTAAGCCAGATACATTCATGTCACAGCTGCTGGGATATGAGGGTGTTGGCAGCCTCTGTTCGTATCTGCGACAACGTCTTTGGTGCATGAGCATCATGGCTGGCGTCAGTGGCAACAGCTTTGACAATAATTCAATTTATTCTCTCTTCACTCTGTCCATTTATTTGACAGACGATGGCTTCGAGCATCTGGACGATGTCATAGCGGCAACATTTGCCTGGATACGATTGCTCAATGAAAGCAATACGTTGTTTGCCACCTATCAGGAGATGCAACAAATTGCTGCCACAAATTTTCGCTTTCAAATCGAGATGACCTCAATGGATAATGTGCAGAGCATTGCAGAGGCCATCAGGTTTCTGCCCCCCAAGGATGTGCTCTCCGGCACAGAGCTATACTTTGAGTATGATGAGGCAGCGCTGCTGATGGTCAAGCAGCATCTGGGCGAGTTTCGCTTCAACATCATGATCTCCTCGCACATACCCTACAATCAATTGGAGTATGATCGCGTGGAGCCCTGGTTTGGTACTCATTACATGGGCATCGATATGCCCGAGAAGTGGCAGGCGATGTGGCTTAATCCCCAGCCGCATCCCGAACTGAAATTACCGGAGCCGAATCCTTTTATTACCACAGATTTCACAGTGCATTGGCTAGAGGAAGGTAAGCCGCACATTCCACGTCGTCCCAAGGCATTGATCAGAAACGATTTGTGTGAACTGTGGTACCGACCAGATGATACCTTCTTGCTGCCCGATGGCTTCATAAATCTCTACTTAATCACACCAATATTGCGGCGAAGTCCGCTTGATTACATATCGGCTGTGTTATTCACGTACTTGGTGGAGTTTAGCATCGCCGAGAGACTGTATCCGGCTCTAATGGCAGGACTCAGCTACGGACTGGAAACGGCGGATAAGGGCTTGGTGCTGCGTGTCAGTGGTTACAATCAGAAGCTGCCGCTGCTGTTGGAGATCATTATGCAGGTGATGCAAACGCTGGAGATCGATCCCGCCCAAGTGCTTTCCTTCAAAGAGCTGAAAAAGCGACAGCTCTTCAATGCGCTCATTACAGGCAAATCATTGAATCTGGATCTGCGCCTCACCGTGCTGGAGCATATGCGTTTCAGTCTGCTTCAGAAGTATAATGCAATCGATTCGATCACCGTGGATGATGTGCAGAGCTTCAAGGATAACTTTCACAAGAAGATGTATGTACAGTGTCTGATTCAGGGCAACTTCACAGAGCAGGAGGCACGCGATGTAATGCAGAAAGTGCACGACATCTATCACAGTGCCAAGGTAGAGAATCTACAAGAGCAGCATAATCGTCTGGTACAGTTGCCGCTGGGCCAGCACTATCTGCGAGTAAGGACGCTCAACGAGGACGATCCCAATACGATTGTGAGCAATTATTACCAACTTGGGCCGTGCAGTATACGTATGGAGTGTCTGATGGATCTGGTCGATCAGATTGTGGAGGAGCCGTTTTTCAATCAGCTACGCACACAGGAGCAGCTCGGCTATAGCCTTGCCGTTTACCAGCGCATTGGATACGGCATTTTGGCCTACATACTCAACATCAATACCCAGGAGAATAAGCATAGAGCCGATCATGTGGAGGCACGTTTGGAGGCATTCCGCGCCGGCATGCCCGAACTAGTCGCTTCGCTCAGCGATCAGGAGTTTGATGAGGTGCGTGCGACCCTCATCAATGGCAAGAAATTAGGCGATCACAGTTTGGATGATGAGGTCATGCGCAACTGGACCGAGATTGTTAGCATGGAATACTTTTTCAACCGTATTGACATGCAAATCCAAACACTGAGCACCCTCAGCAAGCAAGATGTCAGTGACTTCCTTTTGAATTATGACAAGAGCCATCTGCGCAAGCTATCTGTTCAAGTGATAGGCGCTCCCACAGTGGCGAGACAGTCGCCAAACCAATCCATATCCGATGCCATTGCCGCTAGGCAAGACTCCGTCACTGGGTTGGGCAGACGACCCGGTTCGCTGTCCATGCTGCTGGATGAGGTGCAGCGCAACATATCCGAGGAGCAATTGTTGTTCGAACAGATTGGCGATCGCGTCCACTTGGAATTCATTGGTGAGGGCAACAATCCGGAGCACATCACGGACATAAATGCCTTCAAAAGGAATCTGCACGTCTATCCGTTTATCACAAGCAATCCCAAGCAACATACGACTGGCAACAAATCGTAAGTAAGTGCCAGCGAAATACTGAATGATCGAATAATCAAATGATGACTAAGTGATTATCTAAACGGGATGCAAGCTTATATGTTTGTGCTTATATCAGTCAAGGAGCAAAGGAGCCTCATCGAGTTGTGCCTTAGTTGAAAGCATGCTTCGTCAAGCGTCTTATTTGTAACGCAGTCGCTGAGCAAACACAATTAAAGGACTGGCAACCAACCAACCAAACACACACACACACACAAGTCTCCGCTTCAATGGTGGCTGGCTGGGTGAGAGTGGGGAGCTGTTTTTGCTTTGATAAGCAACTGACGCCATTTTAATAACGCAAATTACAGTCAGCTGTATAAATTTAGTTGGGCTCATTGCTGCGGCAACTGTTGCTGGCACATATTGTTGGGTCTGTGGTGCTCTACATCAACAACAATCAACAACAATGACGCTTCCGAGGAAATAATTCAAAATAATTATATATTTATATATATACGCAAAAATAAAGCAAATTCAGAGAATAATGTGTATGCCAGACTACAGAATACTCTGTACAATGTGTAAGCAATTTAATAAAACAATATTCACAAATGTAGCGCACTTTTGTGCGTTAATGGATATTTGATATGAACTTTTCTCTTTTGTTTTAGTTCTTAATTCTGTTTTTTTCCCGGTGTAGATACATCTTCAACACTTTTAAGAGCTTTCAGGTAGATTGTGCAACATTAATCAATTTGTTTCTCAGTAATTTCGATGTTATAAATAGATAGCAAATAAGTTGCGCTTGTATCTGATTACAAAATTGTGGCGATCTAACAGAAATGAACAAAGGAACTGCGGGCAACGATTGCTGTTGGCTGAAAAGGATTCTGCTCTTCTGGCCTTGTTAAGCACTGAGCAACATTATAAAAGGACATTCTGCCTGTCTCTGTCTGCGCTTATATATATATATATATATATATTTTATATATATATTTATATCCCAGCAAGCGATTCGCTCTTTGTCTGTGTTTCCTGCTAGCTACTTGGCAGCAGTCCAAATTTGCGTCATTGTTTTGCTGTTGCTTCAAATTTGTGCTGCTGCAATTCTGCTTCATATTGTTTGCTTATTTCGTTGCGGGTCTACAAATAAACAGCCCAACAACGTTTAATGCGAGTTGGGCAGCCCACAAAATGCCGCCCACCAATCAAGCAATGGCCGGTTTGGCTAATGATAAACCTTGTTTTGTTGTGTGTAACTGTTGTTTGTGCTGCTGCTGCCATAAAATTATGATGATAGATTATTACTTTGCCATTGATTAAAGTTTCATTGGTGAGTTTATCAAGCGTCGCAACTGTTTACAAATGATTTGATTGTGACAGCTTTAAAACTTATTATACCACATGATCAGCAAATCCAAAGTGTTTTTGAGTGATATAAACTTACTTGATATGTTCTGAAAAGATATATCGAATTGAATTCACGAAATGCAATTTGGAAAAATGAATAAAGTTTTTATTTTTGCAAATAATTTCATGCATCTATGCACATTTATAATTACATTTATAATATATTTATGTATATCACTTGTTATATTAAATTATATATGAATATATGTTATATTCGATTCTTTTTCTTTTGCCAAAAAAAAAAAAAAATAGAACAAAATAAACAACTTTTATGACGTGGTAGAATTGATGCACTGCATTTTATTGATTTTATATGTATTGTATTTAAAGTAAATTTTAAACGCAACACATAAAATATTTAAGCCAACATTAAAGTAGGTATATATTTATGTATATTTTATATAATTGAATTAAGCATTAATAAAAACAATAAATTTAGTTATTGATAATTAAATTCTGTGCACCTGTCAGGTGCCTAACAATAGGTAAACTTTTAGCAAACTCTTCTTTTTTTCTTTTTTTTTTTAAATTTTTGTTGTTTAAATTATTTAATGAATTGATAATAATGGAAACATTTTTAAAGCGCGTTGATGATAATATGTATTAAGTAAATTAAGCATGCAATTGAATTTTTATGCACTGGAAATCAGTTGCAATTTCGTAATTATCTAAATGGATTATTGCAAATGTAAACAAGTGTTATGTTAATTGTTGTTGATGTTGTTTTTCGGCGCACTTTAACGCCTCTGGACTTAGGCTACAATTAAATCAAGTATATCAAGTAATTTACTTATATAAAAATATATATATATATATATGTATAGACGTATAATTATTATTTATTTTTTTTGGATTTTATATTTTGCATTTTTAGTTTTGTTTTTTTTTTTTTTAATTTTGTTTTTCATTCTTTTTGTTGAAATGTGTCAATTGCTCAACATAATGTTTCAGTTTTATTCTTATTTTCAATTTTGTGTTTCACTTAGCGAGTGCGTAGAACACTCAAAATATGTCCGAATGCTAAGCATGTTCTCAGTTTACACCTAAACTTAAGCGAACATTTACATATTGTTTTATTCAATTGCATTAGACAAGTTAGAATCTGATGTGAAGTACATGCCGCTTTGAACAAATTGTATTTAATGTTTAAATTATTTTAAGTAACGGAATTTGATTTGTTTTCTACATGCCCCAACCGAAATATTTGAATGCTAAAATATTTTGCTCTTTGCGCTAAAATAATTGGCTTAAAAGGCATTAAATGAATTATTTAATTGATTTAATTTAGTTTAATTTTTTCTTTCGACTACTTTAAAGGCTTTTTCTTTCCTTGTAGGAAATACTTCTCAAATTGTTTACATTAATTTTAATTTGATGTAATTAAATTAAATTTTTTTCAGTATTTGATTTCAATACATTACTTTTTAAACTTGTTATTGCTATATTTAAATTAACTTCATTTTAAATATATCTTAAAACAAAATTGTTGAATGTGTTTTACTTGTTTTTCTCGCAATGACAAGACATGTATGTGCTTTTCTTTATCTGTTTCTTTTGTTCAACTTAGAGAACAGGTTTCATCAAATTTCATTGCTGACTTACATCAACATCAATCGTTATTATCATCCTTAAATCATCTCATTCATGCTTACTTACTCACTTCTCTCACTCGATCGTACACTCGCTCTCTCTCTCTCACTCTCTCTCTCTCTCTCTTTCGCTCTGGCTAGACTTTTAGTTAGATTTCACTCGCGATATTTTCAAATTGGAATGACCTTAATTAGAAACATGTACTTTTTTCCGAGCTTTACAACATTTTTGCTTTTCATTTTTAATATATGTATATATATATATATTATTTGTTTTTCTTTTGTTGTGTTTTCATTCATTTCTAAATGTATTGGCTGTCGGTGTTTTTTTTTTGTTTTTTTGTTTTTTTTTTTGTTGTTGCTGCTGCTTAGATAGGAAAGGGTTGCAGAAATATAGTGGAGTGTTTTTTGGACTAACGCTCCCGGCAATTTAGGCTTTCGTTGTGTATGTGTATGTGTGTGTGTGTGTGTATTTCGTATTTTTGTTTTTCTTTTTATGGAAATTGTATAGTTTTAGAATTTAACTATATCGTTCAATTGGTTTAAATGCATTTAGAAAATAAATAGGACTGCGTTTTAGTTGTATATTTTTTTCGTAACGAATTTTCAGGAATATACTTTTGAGAAAAGTGAGCTACATTGCATAAGGATCAATCAAATTGGGCAAAGCAACAAGTTTGACCAAATCATAGGTCCATGTGTGTGTGTGTGTGTGTGTGTATTTTTTTTTTTGTTGCCTTTCATTAAACGGTAAAATCACTGGCTGCCCAGCTCATCTTGTAGTCATCAATGTTGAACAAATCAAAAATATCGCAACTGGCATTGAATGCATCCACAGCACCACCACTGCCATCCATGGCGCTGCTGCTTCCCACACCGTTGACAATGCCCCCTGCTGCTGTGCTGTAATCCCCATGACCAGCAGATTGCGGCTGGGTGACCACCTGCATGAAGGAGTTCAGTGTGCTCTCGAAATCATCGCAGACATCCATTGGGGTGCTGTTATATGGATTGTGACCATTTGCCTGCCCACACTCGACTGCGATGGCAGCAGCATTGTTGCTATTATTGTTGGCAGTGCTGCTATTGCTGGCGTTGTTGCTGCTGCTGGCAGTAACATGCTGACTAAGCTGTGCCACAAAACTGTCGGCATCGAAGTCGACATCGGCATTGTGATTGTTATTCAGGAGCACGTTGTCCGGACTGCTGGCATCGAGCAGTTCATTGATGCTGGGTTGTAGGCTAGGATTGAGATCGCGTCGCAGGCTGCTGTTGTTGTTGCTGCCGCCGCCGCTGCTGCTGTTACTCTTGCCAGTGCCCGAACAGTAATTGCTCGAGTCATCGCCAATGTCCATTTCTAGCTGCTGCGACATCAGCTCGAGCAGCTCATACTCATCAAAATGATTCAGCTTGGCATCGGGGCTGTTGGGCTTTTCGCCGATGCTGCCACTGCCGCTGTTGCTGCTGCTGTTGCATTTAGGCGGCGTGCTCGGCGGCGGTGTGGCATGATGCTGCTCCAGGAATATGTCCAACGTTTTGGCCACGCTCTCCGCATTGATGGTCGTCGAAGCTGGCGAGCTCATATCAATATTGTCAATGTAGCCGTGCGTTGTAGTCTGCGGATTGCTGGATGCATAGCTCAGGTGACTGTCGTTGGTGTCCATGGCCATGTCTAGATTGGGCAGCGATTGCGGTGTGGGTGGCGCCTCCAATTTCGGTACGAGCGGCACAATACTTGCACCGCCCGCTGCTGTTGTCGGCGTCACACCACTGAACATAGATAGTTCGGGCAGAGGCGTCAGGGGTGTTATGGGTTCCAATGCCGCGCTCTCGGGTAGCTCTCCCTGTTTGATGAGTATGTCCAGAACATCGCTCACCTGCTCCGATTTAATGCCCGTTGGTTTGCGCTGCACCAGGCAGCTATTGTTGGTTGCTGCTGCTGCTGCTGCTGCTCCTGATGTTGCTGTTGTTGCTGACGCAGGTGATGCTGCTGGCTCCTCTTTGATTTTCATAAGGGGCATGCTGTTGCCCATTGCGGCAGCTGCTTTGCTGGCCGCCAGCTGCTTAGTGGCCTCCTCATATTGCGGAGGCGGCGCTGTTGTCGGCTTAATATCCAGCTGTATGAGCTGCTGCTGGCCAGGTTGAAAGTGTTGCTGCTGCTGCTGCTGTTGTTGTTGTAGTTGCATTTGCTGCAGCTGCTGTTGTGTAATAATTGGTTTGGCATCAATGGGAAACACAATGCTGGGCAGCGAATTTGTGCGCTGATGTCCATTGAGGAGCTTCTTTGTGGCAGTTGTTGCCACTGCTGCTGCCGGCGGCGCTGTTGCTGATGTTGTAGTTGTTGTTGTCGCTGTTAAGCTTATGTTGCCCAGCGTGTGCGCTGTCATCTGTTGATCGTTGAGACCAAGCAGAAATATGGTCTGGTTGCCTTCGTTCCAGACGAGACCCACGTTATTTGGATGCGGCATGGTAGCTGTTGCTGATGTAATTGGCTTCGCTGTATGCAATATTGTCGTCGTATTGGGAACAGCAGCAGCAGCAGCAGTACCATTTGCGTGCTTTGTGGACGTGGCTGGTAGCTTGGACGCGCTATTTGTGTTGTTATTGTGGTTGGATGGAATGACTACAGTTTGTGTCTTTTGCGTAAGCAATCGCAACTGCTGCTGCTGCTGCTGCTGCTGCTGTTGTTGCAGTTGCGCCTGTTGCTGCTGCTGTTGTTGATGTTGCAGTGCCTGTTGCGCCGCTGCAGCAGCGGCAGCCTTTTGCTTTTGTATCTTTGCCTCCAGCTGCTGCTTGACCACCATTTTTTGACTAATAGGTGCCGGCTGCTGGCAACTGTTGTTGTTGTTGCTGCTATTGTTGTTGGTGAGCTTTTTATGTTGACTGCTGCTGTTGTTGTTGATGCTGTTGTGCACACCACCGTTTACCTTTACTGCTGTTGCTGCCGCTGTCGCCGGTTGCTTCACGGTCACCTTAGCTGGTATGGTTTTCTCCAGCTGTGGCAGCACTGTTAATGTTTGCTGCGGCCCATTTGCCGTGGTGGTTGTTATCAGCGTTATCTGTTGCGAGGGCAGCGCATTCACCACCTGAGCGGTAACCGTTTGCTGTTGCTGCTGGCGCCGTATCTGCTGCAACTCTTGCTGGGAGCGTTGCAGCTTTCGCTGCAGCTCATCGATTTTACGTTGCTGTCGACGCAACAGCTCCTCGTTCAGTATGATCGTTGCTGTTTGTGGCTGAGGTGGCAGAATCGTTTGCAGCGTCAGTGCGTGATTGCCATCCAGCTGTTGTTGCACCACATCCATTTGTTCGTGCTCCACTGGCGACTCGGCGACCAGCATGGCCACTGGCGGTGGCTGTGGCACCGCATCTGTGATGCCACAGTTGCTGGTGTCCATTGCATCGCTGATCGTGATGATTTCTGTGGTAGTTGCAGGCGCATTTGCCGGTGTGCTGCTGCACTCAATGGGCTCCAGTGGCAAATACGGCTTCAGTCGCTCAATCAGCTGCGGTTTAGGGCCGGAGACGGGCAGATTGCGACGCTTGAGATGCTGCTTCAAATCGGATACCTTCATTTTCTCCAGCCTCGTCAGATCTGATATGGAGCTGGTGGTGGACTCTGCATAACTGTTTGCCGGACTGGGTGGTATTGAGGAGCTAACGGAAAGTGCTGGCGATGGCTGCGGTGGTGGATGTTGCTGCTGTTGCATTGTTGTTGTGGCAACTGTTGCTGTCGGCTGCTGTTGTGTTGCAATAAGTGATAGTGTGGGCGGTGCAGGAGTGGGTGTGACTGCAGGCGTTGCCGTCAGCAGTGTGGCATCGCCAAAGTTTAAAGCTGCACCACCTGAACTGCTGGTTATGGAAATGGTATTGGGCAGCGTTACGGGCGCCGGCGTTGCTGCTGTACTGATCGCTGTGGCTAAGGCTGGCACCGTCTTTGTGGTCACCGTGATGCTGTTGGCCGTTGTGTTGATGGAGTTGCTATTGGCGGTGGCTGCAGCAGCAGCTGCAGCACTTGCAGCTGGCAGTATGGATTGATTCTTGTTGAGGTTCTCCAGAAACTTGAGCAGATAGTTTTGCTGTTCGAGGAGCAGTTGATAGGACGTTGTCTGATCTGTCTGCGCTTGATCCTGTGCTTGTCCAGCGGCGCTGGGTGGTCCCTTATACTCGTGGAATTTAATGGTGCGCGCCTTGGACACTGGCTTCGACTTGGATTTCTTGCGATTCTTGTCCTTGCCGGGCGCATCCGATTTGACAGCAACCGGTTGCAGATGTAGCCGCGTCGTCGGCAACGTCGGCGGCGGCGGTGATGCAATGGAAGACAGCGGACTTAGCGTCGACGTGCTGGAACCCAGGGAACAGGGCGAGGCGAGCATGGGCAACATGTGTTGACTGTTGGCTGGACTGGCTGTTGGACCGACAACGCTCTGGCAGAGCTCCTCAAACAGATTGGCCGTCTCCTGCTTCACCTTGATGGCAGTGGCACTGGCAACAGGCATGGACATGGACATGGGCATCGGTGGTGGTGGTGGCGGTGGTGCACTCACCACATGTGTGCCAGCCACGTGGCAATCTGTTGTGCTCACCAATTGTATCGAAGGCACCATGCTGAGCACCAGTTGCTGGCCACCGTTGCTGCTGGGCTGGGTGGATGTGGGCGTGGGCGTGGTCAGCGCCACTGTGACAATTCCAGCAGAGGCTGCAGCTGCCTGCAGCACATCCTTGGGCGTAGCAGCTTGTGGTTCCCCGCGCACCACGGCGGCAACACCGCCGCCAGCCACAGCCGCTGGCATAAGCTCATCGAGACGTGGCGGCGTTTGGCGTGTATCGCTCTCGGAACTCAGCGAATCCTCATCGTAGGTGATATAGCTGTGCGGATGCTGTGGTCGCGTCAACAGACCCTCGCTGGTTGCCTTGAACGGCACCAGGCCCTCTTTGACTATCTTCTCGATGGGCGTCTCCGTATGCAATATGTTCTTCTTGATTAGCTCCAGCGGCCCTGGTCGATGCTGAATCTGGGAGTTGAGGTGATCCGCCAGGCGAGCCTTCTTCAGCATGCGCTGCTTCTCCGCCAGGCTCGGATCAATGTGGCACTCATCCTCCTCCAGTATGTGCAATCGTTCGAGATCTTCCCGATTCGGCCGCTGTTGGATTTTGGCCTTCAGCAAATCGCTGGTCTTGGCGCGTTCCAGTTGCTTGCATTGTTCATGGATGGCGGGCGAGGTTTTGAGCGCTGAAAGGGAGACAGATTTTATATAGTTTTAGAACGAAAAAAAATCGAAAAACAATACTCTATTTGATTTCCCATAAAAATAAACTTTAATTTTATTGTTAAAGCATTGGCTGCAAGGCGGCTAAAGATTATTATTATTTCATTTATTTTTATTTATTTTTTGCTTTTCGCTGTCGAAAATTTGTCATCTAAATTCAAATTCAAATTCACTTTCGGCTGCGCCGAGCTGAGCTGGGCACATTGAATTGGTTTGTAAATTCGCGTATTTTGTTGATTCTTTTCGGCTTTCTTCCGTTTGGTTTGTGTGCGCTCAACTTTTTTGTGGCGCCGCGCATAAATTTGATGAGGGGGTGCACATTGAAAATGCGCACATATTTGCATATCCTTTTTGACGGGCTTTTACATTCGACAGGCTGCGGTGCTAAAGCACGTAAGTGAGGCGGCTAATGTGTACTTTCTGTGTCGGCTGCTTCAATACTATTTATTGATTTGGCTAGCTAAAAGCCACAACTTAAGCTAAAGAGTATTAAAGACTTGTTGCGATGCACTTACATGGTATAATGCCCTGCTCGACGAGTTGGGAGTGCGGCCGTCGCACCATCAGTTTCACTTTGAGCGCTGCAAAGAAATCGATAAAGAAATGATCAAATTATTATAAATTGGCATAGTATAGCACGATCAAACAGGACAACAAGTTGCAGCTACATATTCAACAAAAAAAGAACCACAAATTTGACGCCCATAAATTAAAATGCTCGTTGCTAGATCAAAACATAAACATAGCTCATAAAAAATGCTTTAAACAGCTGGCCAAAATGCGAACGCCAAAGTTTTCAGCGGGTCTTCGTCTTTCCTGACAACCTAAAGCAATAAATGTCGAGCCCAAAAAGAAAAAAAAACAGCTGCAAATGGAAAAAATAAGAAAAGAAAACGCACAGAAAAATATTACTGCAAAGCAGAAAAAACGAAATGAAGTGAAAAAAAAATAAGGAAAAGTTTTAATATCTTTATGTGCGGTCTACTATTGTTGCTGTTGTTCTTGGTCTCTAACGTTTTCCTTATTCATTTTGTCTGCTTAGCACCGCCAAGTATAAAGTTAGCGCCCCCAAAAATTAAATATTTAAACCGGGCGACGAGAGCTGTGCCTATACCTACATGCTATCCATGGAACGCCATGGGGCGTATACGTAATAATATGATTATGTGGCAACAGCTACTAAATGACAGATTGATGTCAATTAACTTGACATAAAGTTACCAAAGCCTGTTCTGCGCCAGGCAGCTTCACACACTGGATACATTTCGGTAGGATTCAGGAGACCAGAAAGGGTCAATCCATTCAAATGGGTAAGATTGAGAGTAGAGTCAACAGCAAACACACTAGAATAGCAAATTCTGAATAAGCGTTAATTTACAGAACACTTGGTAGAATAATAACTAATTAAATGTATTTGTACATAAGCAAGATTTACTTGTTTACCATATGTATGCATATCAATTATGCTGAAAGGGCATAAATTATTTTAATAATAGCCTATTGAATTGTATATCCCAATTTACAGCTTTGTAATCCTGTCAACTAGTGTAAATTGCTGTATACATCTTATGTGCATCCTGAGTAAGCATATGTCATAATACATATGTGCATGTATATTTTTGTTAGCATGTTAAGCATACGACCTGTTGTCTTAAACTGATTAACATCAATTAGGCTATGGACATCAGCGAGACTTTGGCCAGCATGTTGAACGAGGCATGTAATTAAAATGAGATAATTCGCATTCGGGCAGAGGAGACTAGAGCCGAAAACCGCAAATGTAATGAAAACACAAATCTTATGGCTCCAGTTGGACAGTGTGGGTTATCTGGTTGTTGGGTGGTTGATGGGTGGTTTGCTGTTGATGCTGGTGTGGTTACGTGGCAGCTTTGCTGCCAAGGCCATAACAACCGCACGAAATGCCAAATGCAGTGCAGATTATTTTTATTTTATTTTGGCATTTGGTTAATGCGGTAACATATGCCCATTCATATGTGTAAGCACTTATTTAACAAGAGTTTTAGCCGGCCAAAGCCAGACAGTAGACAACAAGCAAAGATAAAAAAATAACGAATAGCGAATAACACTTGACGCCACAACAAAGTCGCATAAGTGAAACGACGACATCAAAGTGAGAAGACGCTGACGATGACGCTATTAAAGTCATTTAGGCTCTTGAAAAATCATCATAAAAAACAGAGGAATCGGTGGCCAGAGAGCTGCCAAGGCGCGTAATTGTCTCGCGGGGAAGAGCTGGCAGCCGCCCATTTTATGATTGAAGTGTGCACAACACACAAAAATATATTTAAAAACAAAAACCAAAAAAAAGAAAAAGAAAGAAATTTATTTTGCTACATCCCTTACTCTCGGTTCTCTGTTTCTCCTTTCTGTCTAGCTGTGATCTGTTCTGTATTACTTTGTTCCTGCCTCTGTTATTTTTTTCATTTATGGCTGGCAAATATTTGGGCATGTAACACGGATATAATATTATTTTGGTGACGAAGCTTTGAACACATTCGGTGCCGACTGCTAAATTAATTGCGCTAGTAATTTATTCTTTCTCTTATTACTTTGGTTCCTCCTTTTTTTCCGCCTTAATCTCAATGTCTAAATGGGCGCTGCTCTGTTTACGTGTCGATTTTACACCTACACACGAGATTGATAAAAACAATAACAAAATTCCAAATTAAACACATAAAAGTTTTTATGCGATAGCAATAAAAATGTAGACGTAGCCAAATCGTTCATCTTATTGTTGTTCTCATTCCATCTCTTCTTCTTCCTATTTACGGTGCTGTGGGTGGGTGGGTGGTGGTGGTGCCTGCCCTTTTGCATGTAGGCCCAGTTCCACGGGCGAAGGTCAGGTAAACAAAGCAAAAAACCAAGAGAGCGAGATGACCGAGGCACTGAGAGCGGCAACAGCTGGCTGACCGCATACACACTAATACACATACACACTCTTAAACGCACACACACACACACAAATGTATACAAATATATCGATATATATATATATATATATATATGTAAGAAGTATTATAGCATCGATTACGTGATCAACGGCAGCGCCTTAGCTGAGACGCCATCAACGTGGGCCAAAACCATTGAACTATGGCAGCAGGAGGTACAGTGTGGCAACTATGTTCATCTAAATATAAATTTGTTCACATATATGTATTTGCTATGGCATGCTTTCAAATGACTATAAAGTAGACATAATAATTCTATAGTATTTTATCTAAATTTATTATAAGCATTTGAGGAGCTCAAAAAATAATTATACTTTAAGAGTGTGTATTTGAATGAAATGGTTGTTTGATTTCGGATTTAAATACGGATGCAATTTATTGGTTTGCCAAGTTTATATAACTTTCAAAAGCATCGCAAACGTATACACTTCTAGCCACATATTTTTGGACTACCTTGAATCACTGTGCAATAGCATTTTACATGCCTGACGTTTGTGGCTGCTATTTCCGCCTTGGCGTTTGCCTGCAGCATCCACAGTATTTTCAGCAACCACTCACTGAACATAGGTGTACCCCGCGCCTTCTACCCCGCACACACCCTGCAACCAAGCGGCAGCTTCCCCTCGTTCCTCATTGGGCGTTTTTAAGTCGCGTGCAGCGTGTTTATTTGTCAAAATATTTTTGCAGCACCTTCGCCGCCTGCGCCTGGCCGCCATCTGGTTATAATAAATTTTAGTTGCAAATTGCAAAATGTTTACAGTGGGGCTTTTTTTTTTTCAACGAACGCTAATATGCAGTTTATGTTTATTTGTTAGATAACGGTTTTTGCGTATTATGTGTCTGCCGGAAATTTGCGCCAACCATTTGCCTTTTGGCAGTTTATGTGACTTATAATATTGCCGAAAAAATAGAAAAGAAAGAAAAACCAACCAGAAAAGAAATACATTGCGAAATGCATGCAAATAATTGGCGCCTTTTGTCAGGGTCAGGGTGTGTGAACTTTCAGCTTGGGGTTGGGGCTGCCGCTTTTGGCAGCCTCAAAATACCGAGAAAAAAATGCCAGCCAAGCACAGGCGACAAGAGCTGTCAAAACTATTAGCGACCATGCGACAGAACACACAAACATACAAACATATATATATTTAGACTAATGTATACATATTCAGGCCATTCAAAATGAATACGATTATTTCTCTTCACTAGAAATGCCAAGCAACTATGTAGGCCAAACAAAAGAAGCCAAAACAGAAAACAGTTGACAATTTCAGTGTGTGTACCCGAACCATGAATGAGTTTTGCTGCAGCCAGTAGGCGTGGCACTAGCAAGTGCACACCATTTGTGACATCGCGTCGCACTGACAGCTTCATTAAGATTTTTGGTTCCAAGCCGATAATGAGCAATCGTCTTGATGATGTTGACGATAGACACGGTTGGTCAGCGGCAAATGCCGCCCGCCAAAGTATGACTAAACAATGCCCAGAAACAAAGATAAAAAAATAAAAACAAAAAATCATGTTGACAAATGTCAAACAGCCGCGAGATGGTCAAAAGTGTGGGCGTCTGTACCAAATTTGTAAACATGGTCGAACAACAAAGCGAATACATGGAAAAGAAGGGCCAACAGTGAACATCTAGATATGACACCGTGAGCAGAAACAATTTTGTAATATATTTCAGATAAAGTAGCAATAAATTATGTAAAATAAAGTTATCCAGAAAACAATATCTCATTCGTGCAGATAAAAAGGTTAATTATTTTTTTATGCATATTTTAAAAGGTTACAGAACCAGAGGTGGGCAGGGCTGCTTGGGGATTAACTTTCGTGTGCTTAAATAATTTGGATAAACTGCTTACTGCTTACACCGAGGGGCAATATACATAGACAGACAAAAAGTTAGAGCATTAATCTATTTTCATTAAATGCTGTATTTAGTTTGCTCTTTAACTCAATGTGCCCATCTATTATAATCAACTTTCAAGGAAAGAAATCTTGTACTCACATTCTTTATTCTTATCCATGGCCGGCTGCAGCGGACTGGAGTCGACAATGGCCTTTGGCGGCGATTGTCTGGCATCGTAGCAATCGGAATTGTTGCCATCATCGCTGCTGCCCAGGAACGTAGCGTGCAGACGCTGTTTACCTGTGAAAGCAGACATGGATTAGCCCTTATCGGACAAAACATAAGGTAGCCAAGAATACTCACCCTCTGACATAGTGTCGAATGCCTCTTGCAGCAGTATGATGTCCTGAAAAGTATGCTCCAAGGCCTTACCGCTGAGCCGTGTGGCCAGCAGGCCGTTGCAAGTGGCACTCGAGATGAGCTCGACGGTGGTCAGCGGCGATGTGGAGATGGTGGCCAGCAGCGATGAGCCGCCGCTGCTGCCACTTGCGCTGCTGCCACTGGCGCTGCTGCCGCTGCCGCTGCTCAAACTATGCAGCGAGGCAGATTTGACAAGTTGGCCAACCTTTGGGCTATTCCCGTGCGACTTTTGAGTGGCCTTAAGAGTGCGCGTTAGGCTCTTATTGGGCGATGTGGATGTGGACTTGTTCAGCAAACGTTGCGCCGTTGTTGCGCTAACTGACTTGGAGCTGGAGCTGGAACTAGTACTACTGCAGCTGCTAACACTGCTCACGCTGCTGCTGCTGCAGCTGCTGTTGGATTTCTTTGAAGAATTCGAGCTTATGGATGAGGCGGGCGATGCTGATGATGAACAGCTGCTCAGTATGACTGTTTGCTGTTGTTGCTGCTGCTGCTGCTGCTTATTTTGCTGTTGTTGTTGTTGGAGTGTATTGTTGCTGCTGTTGGTTGATTTGGTGTCTATGCTTATGGGTATGATGCTGGTTGCCACTAACTTCTGTTGCCGTTGCTGTTGGGGTTTATTTGTTGTTGCTGCTACTGCGGCGGCGACGCCTGATGTGCCTTGAAACCAACTGGGAAAGTTACCCTTGAGCGTGTCAATTAGATCCTGATCGAGCGTTAAACGCCACGATGCAGGGCCGCCGTCCACGCTGTGCGTAGACTCTGTAAGAAAAATATGTTTCAATTAGTGCGTATACTTAATATTATGATTTTAATTATATCTCATAAAGTCGATATGGTAATTTTAAATAAATCTAGAACTATGAGTACATATTAAACAGATTAGATTTGCTAATCTGAACGCAACTACAGATTCAGATACATGTCAAAGTTCAACAAAGACAACAAATTTAACAGGTCAACTTCCCACTTGTCTGTCTGTTATAACTTTTCCCATGACAAATAATTTTGCATAATATTAATCTATTATTTCGTGAAAATTGTGAATAGTTGAACCAGTTGCGGCGCTCTTGCACCTCGGTGCCACTTTCTGTTATTAGCCGTGAACCTTCATTTACAGCTTTGCGCTGTGCATGCAACAAGTGGCGCAATTTCATGAAAAATTCATTAAGAGTCGCCTCATCACTTGACCCTCTCAACTACTAAGTAAGTAAGGTGGTAATTTCATTCAGTTGGCATATGTACAACAATATCTATTATATATATATATATATATATATATATATATATATATATTCATTTATTTAGTCAAGCTTTTGCGCACTTATTTATTTTAATGGTCACCCTTTGGTGGCAAAGCCAATGACGCAGCTGCCTAGTGTGCTAGTTATATATGCTAAGCACTGCCAAGTAACCTACTTAATGCTGACCAGGCCCCACTCCTAACAGCATCCCCCAGCTGGGAGCAGTGAAAACTTAGCAACGCGCGCACTTGCTTTTTTTTCTATTTTTTTTTTCTTTTCGTTAAATTTTGTGTATCGCAATTTTTATTGTTGCTCTTTCGCTGTTTTGCTTTGGTGCTTGTTGCCTTGTCATTATTTACGCACTTGTCGATAGTATTTAGTTTGCAGCAGTTTTTGGTCGTTTTTCATAAACTATATATATATATAGATGTGTGTGTGTGTGTGTAGGTGTGTGTATTAACTCTGCAAGTAATATATAATAATAGCTGTAAACGCGCTGAAATTTCTTGGCACAGTCTGATGTTGCATCAGGCGAGCGCGACATTCCCAGACACGCCTCGAGTTATGCAATACAGTTTGTCAACACTTTTAGCAATGTCCGCAATTAGAAAACCTTTTTATACCCTTTGCCAATAAGCATTCGACTGACATGCACTTGTCAAACGTACCAATTTGGCTTAGCTCCTCTTCTTTGCCTTTGTTATTTTTGGCAATTGTTTTATTTCTATTTATAGCTAAGGCATTAAAGGTTTATTTACTTAGTTCTTTGACAGAACTATATTTAGCGTGATTAGGCGACAACTAGCAGCTGCTAAAGTTTGTGTGTTCATTTAATTCAAAATTGCGAGATGTTCAATATTTCGAGAGTTAAACTTTATGTACGTCCGACGCGGTTGCGACATTTATTGTTTAATAATGTGGGCGCCAAGGTGTCAGCTGCACCAAAGTAAAACTGAGCCACAAATGTTGCCCCACGCGACGTCTGTTTCCGCTTGGCGTGCATCAATGTCGCCATCAGGCTATCACTGTCCCCCCACCCGTTTCTTGGTCTTTCTGCAATCGCCGGTTACCTCAGATGTTTGCGATGCGATGCTGCAGCATAGCTTTGATGCTTGCTCGCTCATTGGCGCGACACGCAGTCAACACAAAGCCATTGCCAATTCTATTTTTGAGCAGCCAACCAGCCACTAGCCAAATGCAAGTGGTTTTTTCCTTTTGTTGGCGGAGAGGGAGGGGGGTTTGTTGTCTTACAATAGCTCCACGTCGCATCCAACAGACGTCAACGCGAGACGATCGCAGCTGACAACAACCTGCCCAATAATATTTTGTCAATGAGGCGTATACGCAATTTTTAAGACAATCCCTTGCCAAAGATTCTTTGTGATACAAATGTGCTCTAATGAGCTCCTCATTGCCATTCGAAGAAGCAATACTTTAAATATAATATCATAAAGTACACAATAGAAAAAAATTAGTAGGCCGTTTTTTCGCTGACAGCCATCCAGGAAATTAGCTTATTATAAAATCTAGAAACCTAAACAGTCGGTATTTGTGTTCGACATTTGGAAAACTTCTCAAAAACTAACTTTTATAGCCAATACAATATATACATATATGAAGTAATCGGTAAGTCATGGGTGATTCACCAGACGCTGTGAGCAAGGAGCAATTTCCTGAATCGATTGGTAAGGAAGCTATTCCAGAGCAAGCTGTAAGAGAAAAACCAAAAGCCAAAGAGGGTAAGGATAAAAAGGCCAAGGAGGATGATAAAGGTACTCGGGTATCTGCAATACAAACGGGTTTGACTGCAAAGCAACCGGTTGTACGCTATGCGCCCACTTATCGCCTAGAGCCAAAAAATCCATTGAAACATGAACGACTGGAGATAATCGTCAAGGCTGAAATGAATAAGCATTATGGGGATGATTATACATTCCATCCAAAGTACTCTCTGCATATGGCTGCTCAGGTCGCAGAGGATATTAAAAGTCGCATCAAGCTATTGAATTTCGATAGATACCGTTATATAGTGCTGATTAACGTTGGTGAGTACCTCATGCAAGGCCTCTACTCGATGGCCAACTTTCTATGGGATGCCGAAAAGGACGGTTATGTGAACTACAACATTCAGACGACAAAATTCTTTGCAGTCTGCACAGTATTTTATATTTACTACGATTGAGGAGCCATTCAGGAGTCTTATGATGGCTGCAAACTGAATACCATATACTAATACAAAACAATAAATAATAAACAAGATTGCCAGTATAATATGCTTTGCATAAAGAGCCTAAGACAACAAATTGAGGGAGGAATCAACAAGAACAGTAAATAAATATAAATATAAGAACCTAAATAACAAAATTTATATTTATAGTGCTTCGATCGCATCCCTTCACCGTTTGCTGAATAAAATTCGAACTTTCTTTTATTTTAGGAATTTTATGGGTGTCGGGGAATGAAGAGCATAACTATAAAAGATTATCACATATAATAACACTTGGAAAAAGAACTAAAGCCATTGCCAAATCGTTGATTTTTATGGCCAAGAGCAATAGTCAGACGACTTGGCCAACAGCTTTTGACGGTCCATGCACAGAACTAATCATTCAAAGCGCAGCGGAAGTTGCCGCGGAAATTGTAGCATCTGTTAGTGAGTGTTTGGCTGTGTGTGCGTGTGTGTGTGTTTGTCTGTGTGTGTGTGCGTGTCCGTGCGTGTGACCTTGTGTGTTACCGTTTGCCTTCGCTGCTGCTGCGAAGTAAATATCAATTATGTATGCTCCTGCATATGCCAGCAGCTATTCACGAACCAACGCGCCCGCAAAGTATGCTACAGAACGCCTTTTGCTTGTTGTTGCTGGTGTCTATCGCCCCCGACAGATTGTATGTGTGTGTGTATCTGTATGTGTATGTGAGTGTGAGCGTGCTTTTGGCTGTGTCTGTGTTTCAGTTTCTGTGTGGCTGGCATTTCCTCTCGACAACAGGAAACAGGATGCTGTTAATGTTACAATTCGACATAATCGATGCTTGTCGTACGAGACTCGCATTTAACCTGGCAATTTGTCGGCTGCATAAACATTAAGTTTTATTTGCAGTTTATCTACACGTTAAACATGCCACACACCCATACCGGTATCCTTTGCCACCTGCCACTTGTGGCAGGCATAAATCAAATTGTGGCGCAAGTAAACGACTTTAATAGCTACGCCGACATTTATGGCACATCAAATTGAAGGCATCGAATAATAAAACACAAACGCATTCAATACCCCAAAATAAAAATTGATTAAAAAATGCGAAGCGTGCTAAACACTGTTGCTGACCTTTGCAGCAAAGAACGTGACGGAGCTCATTTTTGTTTTGATTGTTTTTTGTTCTTTTTGTTCGTATATTGTAAAAATATCTGCGCAACGTTTACATATTCATTTGAATGCCAAAAGCAGCAGCTGTTGCAGTAGCAACAACGCCGCTGACAGCTTCGACAAGCGAGGATTATGCAAGCGCCACAGCTCGTGAGCAGAATTCGACTACCCAAAAATCAAATATATCGAATAAAGCAACAACAACACCAACAACAACAATTGCAAAACGCACGTCATGTGTCGCTGGGTGGGTGTATCTATAGATACATATGTAGTATAAGTCTGTAGCTGCAAATTGAAATGTATATTTGTAAACAATATGCAGACGTCATAGACAAAACTCATTTAAATGGGGAAGAAAACACCACATAACAGCGAACAACAACCACAACCACAACAACTACAACTAATATAAATACTAAACAATAAAAATTAGAAAAAGTACAGAGCCAAGAAGCACACAGATCAGCATCTATATTTTATTTTATTTTCTTCTTTTTTTTTGCTGTACCACTCAGTTTGGGCATAAATCGAAAAACTTGTTTGGCTACTCGACAGCAACAGAGCAACAAGTTCAATATAATACATTTAATAACAATTTATAGCGAACGTTTTTTTGATTCAATAGTTTTAATATGCAGCGAGTTGTTTTTGCCTTTTTGGTGCGAGCAGAAATTTCGCATGTTATCGGAACATGACAAGTGTCAGCGATATATGCCATTAGAGGGGACGCAGGGGGAGAAACTTATAAATAAAAAAATATATATAATAAGAGCAGCTGACAAAAACTAACAATTTGACAAAACGTGTTAGTTATGGACACGCGTAAAGCAAACAGTTCAAAAAGAAAACAACATTGAAAAACACTTTTTAGTTGCTTATCAGAGTTATGAATCATATATCATATATTAAAAGCTAGTTTAACGCTATTGTTTGAGCGCTTAACTTACTTCAAGTTGAGCTGTTTCAGAATTGAAATAACTCATTGTTATCATAAGTACATATAGGATTATTGTTGTTATTTATGATTTGTTTATTTTTGAGCACTGAAAACAATGAAATGTGTTCACTTTCTGTAAATGCCTTATCTTATCAATACTTTCGAACTGAGGTTCATTTGTTTTGTATTTGTTGTATTTCTTTTGGGGATATCACTTTAAGTAAGAGATTAAATAGAGACTTTACAAATGACTCATGGGTAGCACTTTATCAGTTGATTATCAAACGCGGAACGCGGAGCGTGAAAATGTTGTCCAATGTGGGGAGAGCGCACCGGCAAACTAAGTTAACCAGTCGAGTGTCGAGTCAGGCAAACACGTTTGTGGAACTGAGCTGATGACGTACTATTGACCAACTGATTGAGTGACTGAGGTGCCTGAGGTGACTGAGGCGACTGAGGTGCCTGAGGTGGGCGTCGACTATCGACTGTCACTAGTCGGTCTTAACTGGCATTATGCGAGCTTCTCTCTCACTCATTTCAATTTAAACAGCATTTTATGCTGTTGACATATTTGCACTGATTGATGGCACACGGCTGACTGGGCAAGCAACAGAGGGGGGAGTGAGAGAGACAGAGAGACAGAGAGAGAGAACGAGATACGACGCAACAAAGAAGCGACGAGAATTTGAGAATCACAACAATGGCTGGTTAATAAGCGGCGAAAATACACACACTGGGCCGGTTGCATTGGAACAGAGACACAGACGCACACACACACACACACACTTACACACACATACACATATGGAGACATACACAGACTGCAGCTGAAATTGAATTAAAGCTGTTTTTCTGCGTTTGCTGCATGCAAATGAGTTGCAGGGGACATCAACGCTTGCGGTCAGTTGTTGGCCGCTTCACTCTCTCTGTGCTACCTGATCAAACAATTGCAGCCCAACAAAAGTCAATTGGACAGTCGCACACCCACACACACACACACACACACAGGCATAGAAGCCACAAGCTCTTCGGACTACCGACTGACTGTCTGGCAACATGTTTTGCATACAAAGCAGCGCCTGCGTCTAGTGCCTGTCCAGGATGTGATGCCTTATTGTAGCACTTGGGGCACAATGCGAATTCTGTGTGTGCTTTGTGTGTAAGTGTGTGTGTGTGTGTGTGTGTGTCAGTCGCATTTGAGCACGTGCATGATGAATACCCACAGGCCAACAGCAGCCAACCATAGGCATTAGCATCCAGTTAAAGCAAGAGAAGCTTTTAGCTTAAAGTTAATACACGCAACACGATTTTAATTTTTAATGTATCCTAGTATAACTTAAGTTATTACTATCTTTTACATAATTATATTAATTCAATTTGCTATAGCAGCTGGAATTGTTTGCATTTGGATACTTTTAATTGAACTTTTGTTTTGTTCCACTTCCTTGATGAGGGGGCAACTGCACATTAGTTTATGCCTTTAAAAATTCGAAAAATTTTGACAGTTCATAAACAGCATTTGCACATACATAAACAAATCAAAATCAAAATTCAACAATTAGTTTTCGCCTTGCCAATAACAAATCACAACAGACGAAAAACAAAGCAAAATAATTTGATTTTAATCCCTTTCATTGAAACGCATAGAGTCGAGTTTTCAGCCCCTAATGGCTGCCGTAGAACACTGCAAACAAGGCTCATAGACTGTGACATTGTGGTAATTGTCTGCGGACTATGCTCGGTTGCCCCCAACTGTTTCATGGCCTGGCTGGCTGCTTCTGTTCCGGCTCTCGGCATTCGAGCGCCATATAAATAGGTGGACAGGCAGCCAGGCCAACCGGTATGCCTGTGTGTGTTTGTGTGTGTGTGTGTGTACATGTCCTCAATTAAATTTAATTATGCCCAAACGATACGCTCAATAAAAATTTAATTTTTAAAAATATGAGTCAAGAAAATGAGCCAAAATAACAAAAATTTGACATTTAAGAGCTGTACCACAGACAAACCCAAACACAAACAGAAACAGAAACAAACCAAACCAAAACACACCACAGCTCAAATAATTGAAATTGAATTTTCGATGATAGAGTGGAACAAAAACTAGATGACGATGTCATCTCATTTCGAATCGTTGTTGTTATTGTTGTTGCTAGCCACCCGCACGAGCATTTTGGCAAAACTATTTTTAATCAAGTGCACAAGTTGGTTGGCTTTTGGCAACTGCAGCACAACACACACTCGCAGACACGCGCACATATACACACGCATAATTGGATCACACATACATATTTTGTGGGTTGCCATCAACCGGATGCTGTGGGCGTGACCAGGCCAACAATCAACCGGTCGCCCTTTACAGTTAACAAGATCTGACTCTCTTGTTCTCTTTCCAGAGTGTGTCTCAAGTGGGCGATAGAACAATAAACACTTGGCCGGAATATGTTCTGCATTTAGTTTTTATCAGATCAGGCGAGAAAAACAAATTAAAAATAAATGGGCAAGAAACAAAAAAAAATAAAAATAAATAAAAATAAAAATCAAAAGTGTAAAATTCAACTTGTTGGCTGTGAGTCTCTTCTTGCCTCTTCTTGGCCATGTTGCGTGCCAAGTGGAAAATATTTCGCAAGTTTTTCTACATAGTACGTATCAGCCATTGTGGTTGTTCTTGCTGCCACTCTACACATTTATTTATTGTGCGAAAAAGAAAAAAAAAAGTGAAAGAAAAAAAAACATAGAAATACTAGAGAGGAGCAGACGTAGCACGCCTAGCCAGCCGGGCAGGCAGCGTCTTATGTTTAGTTTTTGTACATTTAATTTGGCATTGTTGTTGGCTTTGGCTTTTGTTGTTGCTGTTGTTGTTGTTGTAGTTGCTCTTGCGGGTTAAACAATATAAAGCATAATAAGCAACAACAACAACAACACTTACAAGAAGAACGAGCGGAACGAGCATTTTTTGGCAAACAATTCAGGGCTAAATATTTTGTTTATGTGTTTTTATCAAACAACAGCAGCAGTGAGCAACATTAAAATTTTTTCAAACAAACCAAGAAATTTCAAGTTAAAATTGCAAAGTCTACACAATGATTTCAGAGATCAGATGCTCAGTTAGCTGTTCAGATGGTGTCCCAT